ACCGTAAACTAAAATAAAATAATAAACCACTGCCAATTCAATCAGTGGGCTGAAGTGGCCAGAGCATTTCACACCACTCACCATGAATATAGCGTGTGGTAATATTTCCTGTGAACGTGCCAATCCATTTCCATTGTGCTGTTGGTTCTCATTGAGGCTGTCAGATGAGGTCATTTCCCCTGTCTCATAGCTCTTTATCTTGTGTCAGGGGCCATCGGAAGTGCGGGACACCTGGGTGATGAATATGGACTCACATGAACGATTCATCTTCCCGCCACCTCAGGTTTTTCATCAACGATAGCATTTTTAACTCAGAGTCACAGAAACAGCCCCACCCAGATAGCACAGCATGAGCTATGGCTTCCACAAACCGTCCAAGAAATCCGATGACCGATTCTTATGAACTGCACAAAACAAACACCAAGGTTTTCTGCTGCTGAGTTTGACAGCCTAAAAGTCAATTTCTAAAATCGAATTTGAATCAATGTCAAAACCTAAAAAAAGAGATTTAAATAAAAAACTGAAAGATTTTTTTAAATATTAGAAATGCAAACATTACTGCTAGCTCTTATATCTTCTGTTTACTTTTATTATGGTATGCTGATTTCTCCTGTAATTCAAATATATATTCTCTATATATAGAGTACATATAATATATATATACTGTATATATATATATATACATATATATATATATATATATATACAGTGGGTACGGAAAGTATTACATTATATTTTTCAAAGTTGTAAATTAAAGTTTAATGGACTAGGCTACGTCTATAAATTCTGCTTTCAAATTTTTATGTTAAATTAAATGTTTGAGGTATACCTATAGTTGAGGTATACCTATGATGAAAATTACAAGCCTCTCTCATCTTTTTAAGTGGGAGAACTTGCTTTTTTTTTTTTTTTTTAGTTTAGTGTAACACATTATATATTCTGCAATGCATACTGATTTATTGCGTATCCCAGCAATATTTTCTGCAATATACTTGCAATATAAGGCCAACTGGCTTCTCGGGTAAGATGGAAAAACACTGTAAGAAATGGTGTGTTCAAGTACATATATATGAGTTATTGGAAATCAAAACATCAGGTGTGTTAAAATCACTTTGTTGGGAGCAAGATGGCGATGTACCTTTTCCACACAAAATACAGCAATTTTTTTTTTACTCTACTTTTAGAAAAAGATGAATAATAAATGTGCATCTGCTGTGTTTTTTTTTTTGCTTTTTTATGTTTTTATTCAATTCATGAAGGCAGTGTAAACTATTTATATTATAATTTTATAAGATTGTTGTATTTTGTACTTTAATTTTGATTGTAAATGAAAAACAAATTTGATTCATTTTTAACAGTTATCGCTGCATGAATTGAGTACCGTAATTTTCTCACTGACATGCCCTCAACACTGAAACTCTGGACTCAAAGAAAATTCTGAGTTTCCTAGTTTCCAACTCCTAATTTGATTTTGTGGTGGCATTCATGTTCGTTCAACTCGTAAATATGAGTAAACAAACTACATGCAATATTACAATGAAAACTACAGAAATGAACTATCTTTTACTGTGTCATTACATGTCTGGTATACTTTATTCTGGTCATCTCTGGTATACTTTATTCTGATTGGTCAATAGAGAGCTGCATTCGTGACATCGAACCCAGAAGACTAATTAGCCATGGGTGCCCTCAATTTTCCTGTGGGTTTTTATAATTGGGTTTTTCAATTCATAAGTAAAATAAGGTTTGTGGTATATGCAACTTAACAATACTTTTTTTTTGTTGTTTTTTTTGTAAACTGCAAACACTTGCTCACCAAACATTCTTATGTAATTACTCATTACAAACAAATGAACATAACTGCTTCAAAATTCATGTTTTCATATGTGTGTAATTTACATTGTAGAGCAAAATGCCATCAATTGAAAGTATCACCAATTGATATTTACCACAGACCGTAGTTATCAGTAGTTATCGTTACTGACATTAATCAGGTTTGACGATATTGAATTGAACGCAGATGAAAACGAAGCTGTGAGGGATACATCTACAGGCTTTACACACTGTATTAACATCCTAGATCAAGTCATTTTCACAAATCACAACTTTCAAAACTGTTCTATGGAGCTTTTGTCTACTGAAAGCTTTTTTCAGAAAGACATTTCATCAACTGAACAATTGGTATGCTGTTAAACAACAGTTCAATCCATTAAACGCACTGTACTTCGGTCCCTCACAGCCTCGTTTTCATTCCTGTCAAAAATTAACTATGGCGCTACCATGACTAACATCTACAGCTATCGTTCTTGGTGTGAACAAGCCGTCAAATCTCAAAACACTCTTGTTTAAACCTCTAACCCAAGGTTAGCACCACTAATAAAAAAAAAAACATTTCCTTAAGTCATTTACAGGAAGTAATTTCATAATTCTAATCAAAGCATGATGGTCACTGGAACAACCAAATTAGTGTACAAATCTGCTGGATTCAGTGAATCATATTCTAGTGGCTTTTCTGGGAATGGATACATTCATATATTCGAATGTTAAATGCAGAATACAATATTTTATTTATAGAGTACTTTTCAAGATACACAAATATGCTTTAAAAGAGATCACTCAAATGCAACTAAGCATATACTCTCGTATTCAGATGAGAAAAAGGTTTTTTTTTTTAATTACATTTTATTACTTTTGAATGAAAAAAACAAAACCCTTTTTGGTGCTCTGTTGGGTGACCACATGATATACAAATGTAAAATCTCAAGGCAAAGCCAGATGAGAACCACTGCTCTAACCTTTCTAATGTAAAGTAGGAATGGTTAAACTAATGCAAATACTAATTATGATCTCAGAGATGCATTAGAAAACAAATTCAAAGTTATCTATTATACCCTACAAACCAAAATACCGCAAAATCAGTTGTAACAAAAAGCATGACAGATAAATAAAGGATTAGCCTACCATTTGATGAGTGGAAGCGTATTTATAAATAATATGATTTGACCTTTCAAAGCAATCATAAAAAAAGAAATAAATCTCAGCAAAATTATGAGTAAGGAACATGTGAGAATACATTATCCTAAAATATTCACTCAGAATGGAGGGTGCTATATAATAATGCATTATTCAAATATTCAAATTTTATGAGATGTTCTGGCACACAGCAGATTTCTGTGGCCGCTTTCGTTTCTAACTAAAACATTACTGCCACCTAGTGTTAAAGAGTGACTAGAGACCTTCAGTCTGCACATACATAAGAAACAGTCTTTCGTCTACTAACATGGATATTAAATTCATTATTAAGGCTCTGTATTCAGTCTGTGTAACAAAATGGCCTGTCACATGTCACTAAGATTCTTTCAAATGAGGAATTTCTGATTATAGCACTGAATACTACACCATTAAGCATTCATATCCCTAAGAATAGCAGCAAAAATTTGGAGCAGCTGCAAAACGCCGGTCCTCTGATTTCCTTCCTCTACGGCAGATATTCTTCCAGACTGACAAAGCTGACACACACACACACATATCACTCTCTCTGCATTATTCAATTAAGTCTGTCCCTATCTTCACTAACATGCTTTTGATTCACTGCTGCCTCTCACAAAAATACGAGTTGTCAAAGCAGCAGGCTAGCGTTTTTAGACTATTATGCATGTCAGTCTTCAATCTCTGGAAGGTCAACTGTGTTGTTCTTGCGGCAGAGGGGAGGAAGGCAATCACAGTCATATATCACATTCTCACCGAGGCGCTTTCTGCGTCTATAGGGATGGTGTTTATCTCCACCGACTCGAGATAACACCTTTTATTGTGGCAGTGATGTCAAAAAAATGGCATCATTATGACAATGGAATCAAGACCGACTGCTCGTGGTAGAAGTGCACTGTTGTTGATTGATTCTGGTTCTCGGGGGGGGGGGGGGGGGGGGGCGTCCGAATAGATCAAGCATGTTGTGATGGTATCTTGTGATATACCCATGCATTGTTATCATATTTTTACTCCCACGTTTTACATAATCAGATCTGATTAAGTCCATGAAGAGCACAGTAAAGTGAGGGGGGGTGGACAGATTTGATACATAATGACCTCATGCAAAGGGGCGTCCGAATAGATCAAGCATGTTGTGATGGTATCTTGTGATATACCCATGCATTGTTATCATATTTTTACTCCCACGTTTTACATAATCAGATCTGATTAAGTCCATGAAGAGCACAGTAAAGTGATTGCAGACTTGAACTTTAAATATAAAATACATTTATAAGCATTTATATATTATGTCAGTTTACCTGTTAAAACTTTTTTTTAAAGTGTGATTTTGCCATATTATTATTGCCGTTCAATTACATTAACATTTAATCATTTAGCAGACACTTTTATCCAAAGCGATTTACAAATGAGAAGAGCAAATAGGAGGGCATTAAACATTTTTTAATGTGTTTTAAGTATTAAAACCTTTTTCTGGGCCTCTTTTGCCTCTCCTATGTATAGTATTTTATAACAAAAAAATTTTAACATTAAATAAAAAAATGCAATTTTATATTTGTAGTTTGTTTCTTTTAGAAATTAAAGTAAAATTGCATATATTTCACTTTTAAATAAATAATAATTTAATACATTACTAAAAAAACATTAAAATATTAAATTATAATATATAAAATACCCAAAATATATGTATAAATAAATAAATATCTAGTAAACAGCATATTCTACCAGCATCAGAAAGTAGAGAACAACACATACCTTTGTCGTCTTCAAACGGCCTTCAGAACATGAATGCAGAGTGTGTGTGTACAGTACATTTATGTATGAGCTTTTGAGCAACCAAATACTGTTGGTGTTTGTGTAACATTTGCTATGTAGATTACAGCGTGCTCAATTAATCTTTCATAGAGTGAGTCCTTGTGATCATTAAAATTGTGTAAACGAGTGAACCGAAGAGTGAACTAAACAAAAGAAAGAGAGGATGTGGAAATTGCACGGGACGGAAGGTGACTTACGGTCATTACACTGTGTCCCCGTGTAGGAGGTCATTGAACAGTCGCAGGTGTAGTTCTCCCATTGCTGGATGCAGATGCCCATGTTGGCACAGGAGTCTTCTTGGCATGTAGTGCTAGGACCTATGGTGGCAAAGCACAGCAATGTAATACTGGGGGCAAACGTCCCGTCATGCTGTTAAGGTGCCATGCAGGTGAGTGTAACAATATACATGCACTTTGGGTTAGTAGAGGTAATCAAAAAACATCCCGAAAGCTGTCAAAAAAAACGTGGCATTCCCTATAAACGATTGGATTTTAGTAATAAACATCATACTCTAGACATATTCAACATAGCTTGTTACAGAAGTAGATTCAAACACGGGACCAAGCATGAACTTTCTCACATCTGCACAGAGGAACAAAGGTCAATGACAACATTTAACAGCGAGATGTGTACACAGTCCAGTATGTACTATTGTTACACATGTTAAGAACAATAGTGTGCACACCAGCCATGTGCAATCGAGTTGAGCATGTTCCAAACACATCTTATGTTTTGGCACACTTGGGCTCAATTTTGAGAGAATGCAGCAAGAACAATAGAGCTCATTACCCAATTCAGAGCAAGAGGGTGAATGCATTCCCGCTGAATTAACCGTGTAAACAAGATAATTGCAAATAAACTGGCTTTGAGTGCATTTTTCTTGTGAAATACAACTGTGAAAACAATAGTTAACCACAAACATAAAATTTTGTGTAACAAAAGGAGGAGAAAAGAAGGCTAAAAGTGCATTTACTGTGCAACGCAAAGTGCAGTACTTCAGTACTATGTAAAAGTTCAACATAAAATGATTCACCCCAATTTGTTGACTATCAAAACTGCAGATAGGACTTTGAATGTAAAATCATAGTGAGCCTATACTTCAAGACAGTTCTCTCTGATTTTCCATTCACATCTTTCAGCCTTAATTCAGTAGCACATTAACATATTTACATGGGATACGGTCAAATTACATCACATTATGCAAACTGGCCTTAGTCCGACAATATTAGGGTATTTTTGGTTTAAGTTTCTGTACAGATTTACATAGTAAACAACTTCGTTCCAGTTCACTAATTTGATTAGATAATAGCCAAGAGTGCTGATAAGGGTCATTCATTTTATGCAGTACATTGTCATTTTGCCATTATACAATACAGTTCAGAATTTGGGGTCGGTAAGTTTTCAAAAAAACTGTTTTTGAAGGAAGTCAAATATACAGTAAAAACATTGATAGTGTGAAATATTATTACAATTTAAAAGGAAAGTTTTCTATTTTAATATAATTTAAAATATAATTTATTCCTGTGATGCAAAACTGAATTTACAGCATTATTTTACTCCCGTCTTCAGTGTCACATGATGCTTCAGAAATCATTCTAATATGCTGATTTGGTGCTGAAAAAACATTTATTATCAATGTTGAAAACAGTTATACTACTGAATATTTTTGCTGAAACAGTGCTATGATTTTCTCAAGATTTTAATAGAAAGTTCAAAAGAATAACATTAAATTGACAGAGAAATATTTTGTCACAATGTAAATGTACAGTATTTACTGACACTTTTGATCAATTTAAAGCATCCTTTCTTAGCAAAAGTATTCATTTATTTAAAAAAAAATTATTATTACTGAACTCTAACTTTTGAACGGCAATGTATTAATATACAATATTAATACACTGAATATAATATTAAACTCAGAATGTTTATTAATGTATTGTCTTTTACCACAGTATCACAGTGACGTGAACCCCAGATAAAATACATTGGAAAATATAATAAACTGCCAATTTATGAGGAACTGTATTCAATAAATTTCCGTTTTTCCTTTCTATACTCAAAATGTTTTCAAGACAAAATGTCTTGAAACTGAATACTGGTTAAATATACACACACAAAAAGCTGACATCCATGTAACTTAACTATTTTTCCTAACCAGTTTCTGTAACTTCTTTGCCATTGTATAAATACTTGCAGAGCTGAAACTGCAACACCAGTACATTAACTTCTTACATTAACACAATCATTTTTTTTTTCAAAATCTTGTATGTACTGCATAACAGGAATGACCCGCAACAACGTAGGAGCAAAAATACTGGGTCACATTGGGTCTAAAATGTTAGTGACTTACCATATAAATGATTTGCCCTCAGCTGTGATGATATTCACTTCAACAGCAAGCTACTTATTTGTGATGTTGCTTAAATAATAAAGTGGAAATCACATCTGTTTGAGTTTACATGCTCTGTGGGACGCTATCTGAGCTTAAAGTCTACGGTAGCGTGCCAACATTTCCAGATGGATGTTCATGCTAATTCTATTAATTATTTTGCTAATCATATTGCTGTTCAGTGCATCTAAAGACAAGCGAGAAGTAACCCATGGTGAGATACTTAATGGATTCTCCTAAACCAGATTCTTCTCTCAGCTGAACGTTGTTAGCGTAAAAAAGAAACAAGACAAGATACAGCAAAACAGGACGTGGGGACTTAATTATACAGGAGGGCTCATGTTTTATTAATGTAGACTCTCAGTTGCAACCATTACTTTTCTCTTCTCACTTTGCAAGTCTCACGACCTTCAGTAAAAAACACAAGGGCATTTTCTTTTAGAAAGAAGTGAACCATTTTATACCAAGACATTGTTACAGTGAACCAGCTAGTGTCCGCTTTATGTCTGGGTTTTGGGAAGAGTACATAACAAACCGGCACAAGACAAAACAGCAGCTTTCAGCCGAACTCAGAATGGAATTGAACCTTATATACCTTGTAGATCTGCTTTGGTGAAACCAACTTTGTTAAGCAAGAAACAGAAAAGCGAAAACAATCAAACAGGTAAGAAAGTGGTCGATGGCTTCTGTTAATAAAGCAATGGCTTTACTAACAGGGCATGCTATACCATTCTTAGGAAGGGTTTGTACTCTTCAGTTACTGCACCATGAGTTAGAAATTATAATGATAGTTATGAAACTGATGGGTTGATTCAGCATGGCTTGGTTGAAAAAAGAAGTAATGGCACTCAATGAGAGTATTTAGCTGCAAAAAAAAGCTAAAAGTAAATAAAAACTGCAGTTTGCTATGAAATTGTGCCTGAAAAAAATGATCTCATTTACAGTTTTAATGTATTCAGCCAATAAACATGCATAAAAATCAGGCTTTATTTGCATATTATATTCTAGTCCACTGTTCTGAAGGCAAAAATGTTCAAGTGACTTTCAAATGCAGAGTATGGGCATGATAATTTGCTAATGCTAACGTAAATCAACTGCTAAGACTGTATAAAGCAAGCTGTTAGAGAGGGGACATTTTAATGATGTTGCGTTCTGTCAAAACAAAATGTTCCCCTGCATTACTGCAGCATGTAATCGAGCCCTTGCCTTCCTAAGCACAGGTGCATCATTGCCATCTGGTGGATGAAAAGCTTCATTACAAAAAATGGCGCATTCAATGCCACATGAACCAGCAAAGGAATCTGTTGCCATTGTGGAGCCATTCCATACACGGCTTACAGTTTTACTGTGCACAAACAGTACAGTACAGAGTGATGTTTCATTCATGCTGGGCTGTGAACATAAAAACCTACTCACGTTCACTTTTGGATGCTGTGCGGGAGAGATAAACGTGAAACACACACACACACACAAGTTGCTCTATTCATGTATGAAATGAAGAACTGAATTCAAATGGTGTCGGTCGGGTATGTCTCTGTTAATAAAATATGACAGATAGCCTACATCTTAAAGATGTCTAGCACATCAGCTATATCAGACGATCTGGTGGTCCTGAAAATATGTGGAATTAAATGTTAAAGATATTCTTCTCGGATCTCACAATAGGGCTTTTCACACTTGAAATGGGTCATTTGCCATTCACACTGCTCATTATTTACCCTGGATTAACAAATAATTCATAAACTGGTGTTTCACACTGTAAATTCATAACAGGGTTTTCAGGTCTGTGAAACAAAACCATCCCGATTTCTAATAAAAACTAACCCATTCATGTTGTTTTCTGCGGTTTTCCCCATCGCCAGGGTCCCCTCCGTCAAAATCTCATTCAGGGGAGATCACTGTAACTAGTTTTCAGTAGTGATTGGTCGGGTTTTGTTGTGAAAACCTAGCAACCCTGCCTTTGCTCATCATATTATTGCAGACTGTACCATCAAGATTTTCATGAATGGATTTTTGTTTGTTGGGCTATCAAGGTAAGAATAAAACTCTTCTTTATTCTAATTCAAATATTTTCTGTCAACATTTGACATTTTCCCCTTAAATGCTGAAACGACGCTGTATCCATGACTGTCAAGTGAATATATATGAGGCATGTGATTGCATTTGTTGCTAATTAGGTTCTAGCCGTAATTTTTCTTTTAAAAACCACCTCATTTCACACTGTACTCGTTTGACCGTGTAAAAGCGGTGCTAACCCAGCACAGTTCCATAACCCCGGGTAACAAGCGGCGCTAAACCCGTGAAACGTACCTTTATCTGGGGTTAAAAGCGAGGCTTAGAACGACGATAACCCAGGGTTAAGCGTAGTGTGAAAAGCCCTTAGGCTCTGAAAGTTTTAATAGTAATGGGCAGCTATAAAAAGTTGTTGAGAAATCATATCTTTATGGTTTGCACACTGATATTGAAAAAGGGGGGAGAAAAAAATGGTTTGCATGTTTTAAATTGTGTACACTTTGACATTAAACCATTAATTGTGCATTAGTTTAGATACCATTTAAAAGCTTGGGTTCGTTAAGATTGTTTTTTGTTTTTGAAATAAGTCTCTTATGCTCAATACAGTAAAAACTATTAAATAAAAATATTTTTGAATATCATTACAATTAAAAATAACTGTTTAAATATATTATTCCTGGTATGGCAAAACTTTGAATTGAATGAATTTGAATTTTCTGCATCCATTACTCTAGTCTTCAGTGTCACATGATACTATCAATGTTGAATAAAGCCGTTCTGCTCAATACTTTGGTAGAAACCATAATCCATTTCCCCCCCCAGGATTCTTTGATGAATAGAAAGTCGAAAAGAACAGCATTTATTTGAAATCTTTTGTAGCGTTATAAATCTTTACTGTCACTCTTGATCAATTTAATGCATCCCTGCTGAATAAAACTTACTGAGCCCAAACTTTTGAATGGTACTTTATATATATTACAACATATTTGTCATAATTACTTAATAGCTGCCCATATTCTTGTATTATTTTTAATGGTTTAAGGTCAAAACACATCAGATCAAATGCATAAAGTTCAATCTTAACTCAAAATACTGTAATGTAAATATTCCCTCTGTAGGTAGGTTTGTAAAAATATCACTAATTCATACAAACAAAGATTTGGCTGATCCTAGCATGACCAATGTGGCCAGTAAGAATATTAATAAGCCAGTGGGCTCAACAGAGAGCTGACTGGGTGAGAGATGAGAAAACCAGGGTGAGAAAGATGGAGTGATGTCTCAGTGAGGTGGAGGTGGAACTACTGTTTGCATTCATGAGAAAGAACGGGCTCCTCGAGCTAGAGTTGTAAGAGGGTGTACCTTCACATCCTCGCTCGATCTGACCGCTGCGGAACACAGCATCGTTTATGAGGTCGGGAAGGCGTCCGTTCAGGTCCACAGATGCCAGGCAACCCTTAAAACCGTCCCTAGAGGCCACAAGTTTCGGCAGGCTGTTATACATGTTGGGCCCCAATCCGGCGATGTAGAGGTCACCTGAGCAGACCGCAGATACAATAGATGCCCAGGTAAACAAAGTAGTGATTAGACTGTGAACTTTAGTGTGAATTTTAGATGATAACGTACCTTTAAGGTCCAGATTTTTAGCGCCATTGATGCCTTGACTCACTGCCTTGGCATCGACTTTGAGCGTGTGGACGTTACTGTTGTCTCTAGTGATGACAACGTTATGCCACTGGTTGTCATGGAGAGCTCGGTCACTGTTGCCCTTGATTACATTGGGCCCGTTGCCAAGATCAAACACATAATGTATGTACCTAAAAGACAGAAAAGTGAAGTTGTTTACAGGGAGAGTAGAAAGGCCATATCATTTTATATTCCAACTTTCAGTTTTATAAACATGTCAATTTGAGATATGCTCATTGTAGATATTGTAGTATTTTTACTCTCCACTTCTCTTTTTTTATAACAAAGCAAACTGATATGAAATCTTTTAACTTTTTATGCTTTTTACGAGGGGGTGGATACATCTTAAAAGATACCACAAGAGATTGAACAATATCTTATTATCACTGATATGGTTCATTGACATGAATTTTTATGATCAAGTGCATGTTATACAGAAACAATTTTTGACCCATTTTTTTTACTACAACAACAGATGCATTATGAGTATCATTACAATTATTGTTATTTATGCCATTATATTTATTTGAAATTGCTTTGTGATCTAAATGATTGCAAATATATTTTAGCTTTGTTTTGGGCTGATTTTTACTTAAACAACACATTAAATAAGTTCATTTTCCTGTGAATACTGTTCTGGCCTTATAAATAATGTAATTTCTCTGTAGACTCTATTTTAAATAAAATTATTGATTGTCGAGAATTAAATTATCGGTCTATCCCTAAACAACAACATAAATAAATAAATAAACTTTTTCTTTCAGGTCCTCTTTTATCCAAACAATACATTAAATACATTTCTTTACTTGTGAATAGGCCTGGGTAAAAAATATAGATTTCTCAATTTTAACGATATCGATTCTTAAATTCGAAGAATCGATTAGTCTAGCCTGTTTTCAGTTAATGAAGGGAATATTGTAGCGTGACTTTCATCCAATAAATCCCATAAGCTTTGTGCTTTATTACTTTTGATATGAAACAAAGTCCCAGATTTCAAATTCTGTCCATTTTATTACAGTATCCAAACAATAAATGCCATTTTGGTGCTGTTTAATGTGGAGTGACAGATCGTTATAGCACCTCATTTCAAGAAAAGCAGCAGCGCAAAGCGAGTGTGAACTAATCATCAGCTCCACTTTAATACCAGGTTCAGCACGAAATAACCATGAATAAAATCTGTATCCTGTCTTATGTAATCACTCAATCAGTGTTTCAACTGTGCAATGATGTCAATATAACAGCTTGTATGTCACGTAATGTCACATTTACCTCAGAAAAAAAAACATATTCGGTGACCATAAACTCGTTAGTCAGCTAGAAAAATTAACTCTAGATAGGAGCATTTTGCTAAATATATGCGCCATATAACATAAGTTTTCATATGAGAGCTACCAATTGTTTATATTTAAAAAAAACGAATTGGAGTAGAAATATAATTATGTAGTTGTAAATGTATTATTATAAAACTTAACTGAGTGTAATTTAAGCGTGTGTATACAAATCAGTTAGTTTTAACCTTCAATGTTATAGTAATGTAGTACCAACTTACTCACATGTATATTTTACAGCATTAGTTGAGTTTTTTTCTTTGAGAAAATTTGACATGTACTGTACCTGATATATATCCAAAATAAGTGATATCGAATCGAATCGGAAATCAAATCGAATCGCAAGCTTGTGAATCAGAATCTAATTGAATCGTGAAATGTGTGTTAAAAAAAACCCAACCCTACTTGTGAAAACTGTTTTGGCTCACTAAATTATGTCAAAGAATTAAATATCAAAGAACCAATTATTGATTATGTATAAAAATAAAAAAGCGTGTAAATATCATTAAAAAATATTAGTTAAACCAATTATCAGTCTATGTCTATACGCCACAAAAAAAAGGAAATTACCTGAAATTTTCTTTCCTTACAATCTTTCTTACAAAACAAGGCAGAATATATGGTCTTGCTTATAGACTTCTAGTTTACTTGCCTCAATGACTGTATGCTGAAAAGGTTTAGTTTCTAAAATGCCAGACGACAGTTTTTTTAATCTAGTTCTTCCCCATAAGTGTTAATTGAAGCAGTTTGTTACCTTGTAAACACTTTTACTGGCAAGGTAAAAAACTAAATAAAGAGGCCATTTCTTCAAGAGGCTTACCCTTTCACCAGCTCTACAGCGATGAAATCGCTTCCATCCCCACTGTTGAAGAGGATGAATCCATCTGGAGAGGTTGTCTTGAACTGGAAGAAAAGGTGCATGGATGTGTAAGCCTGCAAGGTCGCTAGACTCAGGTAACTGCTCTTTGACTTGAACGTCACGGGGTCTGCGATGATGGAGCGCATGCCAAAGCGAGCGTTGAGCTCGCAGTAGTCGATATCGCCGTTCTTGCACAGGTCGATGTAGAGCATGCCATTGAACTTGAGGCTCTGCAGGTGACCGATGAAACTGGAGGGGATCATGGAGACGAAACGGCGCTCGGTCATCATGCCCATCTCGATGTTGTGAAACTCTAACCGGGTGTGATCGCCCACCATCTGACCTACAAACCACAGCAGGTTGGAAAGGAAAACAAGAAAAAAGATGCTGCTATACTACACCCTCAAACAATATTATTACACTGCTGTACAGGCATAAAAATGCTATCATAGCCTAAAACCCCGAGTCACACTCTCCAACTACTTGCTACACAGAGCGAGTTCTACAGTATGTCAGTGTAGCAATGAACCTGAACCAAAAATATGTATTTTATTGCTGTGAAACACTAAAGTAGTGTTGGAATGAGAACAACTGAAGAAATGTTATTCAAGACTATGACGCAGTTTGCCTACAAACTGGAAACTACTGTTTCCCACAATTTATCAAAATCCCTCAATCTGTATCTAAAGAATAACTAGAACTAGTAACTCTCAAAACCTTTCACATATTTATTTCTGCAGTTTCTTGCAACAAAATTGCTTTATTAATAGGCTTGAATCATCTATAGCTTCTCACATAAAATAACCCATCAAGAATTGTGTTGTCTTTCATATTGAGGACCAAGGATAGTACCTTCTGCTACGTCATCGTCAACCATTAGCTTGTAGCTTTTGCCCCTCCGGATCACGCGCACAGTATGCCATTCATTATCATTGAGTTTTTGTCCGGCATACAGTGTTTCTGGTCCTTTGCCTGAGAACGACGGTCATGAAACGTTAATGGCAACCTGAATTGTCTCTGACCAAACCTTTGCTTTTAATGAGAAAAAGTGAAAACTCTTTTTGTTGCTTTAAATTTGATGCTAACTAGGGCTGCACGATAAATTGAAATGGAATCGAGATCGCGATTCGACAGAAGCTGCGATTGTCATGCGTATCTTTCAGTGAAGCACGGTTCTGTGATCATCGGTAAATCTCCATCCAAAGGCCAGAGGGCGCTCTCGCGCTGAAACTCCAAATACGCCTCGCAGAAGAAACCGCTGCAGCTGAATAAACAGAAGATTCAACTGCTTTCATTGATTTAACGTGACTAAAAAAAAAAAACTGAATACGGCAATATACGGTTTATCTATAAAGTATATTTATGATGCAATGCCTTTATCACTGCTTAAATACTATGAAATATGTTCCGTGCCTTATTCTGTGTAAGAAGCCACATCATCTCACAGGAGGATTTATTTCAAACACTCGACTGACGTTATGAAGTGAGTTTGGAGTAAAAATATGTTATTAAACGTGGTATTTTCACATGCTTTCAGATGGAGCAGCATTTACTTCACAGAGCCGTAGTTCACTGAGAAGCTATGCAAACAGCTGTCATTATCGCAAACGATTTCTTCGATTTCATAATCGCGCATAATCGTCTGCGATTTTTTTGCGTAACTTGTCAGTGAACTACGACTATGTGTAGTAAATTCTGCTCCATCTGAAAGCATGTGATGATGATTTCCTGCTGATTACAGAACCGGCTTTACTATCAATATGCGCATGACAATCGCATTCGATTATTCGTGCAGCCCTAATGCTAACTATGTTATGGCAAATCAGGTTAAATTGTTTATTTTCTAGTTGAGATGATCAACGCAAAAGAGAAAGCAGAGGTTTGGTGCAGATGTTTTTGAATATTACACAAAAACATAAGCTTTAACAAAAAACTAAAATTGTTAGCTAATTTGGTTTCCTCTGTTTTTCACAATAATCACTTTAAAACATAATCCTGAGATTATAAAATGGCTTTTACTCATAAAAGGTCTTGATACACCACTCGAGGACAAAGTTCTCACAGTTGGTTTGATAATGGTAATTATATTTGTAAATTATATATGCAAATTAATAGGGATGCACCGATATGAAAATTTTGGCACTTTGTATCCCAGTTGTGAGTATGAAAGTATAAGTTGGTAACACTGGCTCAACCAATAGCACGAGTTTGGGACAGGGCTATATGCTTGTCCAAACCAACGGCATATATGGGAAACTTGTATGACTTTGTATCCCAGTTGTGAGTATGAAAGTATAAGTTGGTAATACTGGCTCAACCAATAGCACGAGTTTGGGACAGGGCTATATGCTTGTCCAAACCAACGGCATATATGGGAAACTTGTATGAAAAAGTCAATCTTTTTGCAATTTCGTTTGGTAACACGAGTGATACAGAAATCAAATGCTTCACCTTTAAAGTCGGAATCGGAGTTAATTTACAAGCAAGCAATATATTCTTTATGATGCAATACACTTGAGGAGTTAAGTAGTCACAGAGAAGAGCAGTGAGGTGTTTTGGATTCAGCTCAGAGCATGCTATAAAATCACGCTCCACATCTCTCAGAATCTCCTGGGAAATTGTGTTATGTACCTACCCAGCATGCAGTTATCGGTAGTTCCTGAGAAAGTATATTACCTTCCACCCTGACATTAATCAACACTTCAACACTGACATAAATGTGTTTTTACCGACATGAAGCTCACAATCTGCCATCACTGACACTGTTCAGACAATGTATCATGCCTATTCCTACACCATGCCAAAAACAATACCTACTGTATATGCACTGTATAATTGCTACTTGGATATGATTCTGGGAAACATTGTCCTTTTCATAATTTCAAAACATAATAACTAAGCAGAACAACTATTAAAGGCCATAGAAACAATTATCGTATTTTGAAAGCACAAAAATGTCGGCTCGGGTTACACTAATGCACAAATCCAACAATATCAGACACTTTCTGACCAGATTCCACTGCTGTATGCAGGTAATAATCTTAGAGCTTTTAAAAATGCAGGTCTTGTAACAAGAGCTTAAGAACTAATAGGTCTGATAAGCACATCATTATAATTAGTGGCATTATATTAATCTGAGTGATGGAAAGTGTGAACTGGTGCAGGTAAAGGGATATGAGACTAATCTACTGTAGCATGTGTTTGCTACTTGATCAGAATGACTGATGGAGGCGTAGTTGTGAGTTACTGGTTTACTTGCAGGGCCAGGCTCTCTAGTACATCACCAAAACTCATCATTTGGCACCACAAACACTTTTTATCTAAAGTAACTTACTGTACAGTCATTGTAAGGACAGTCACACAGAATCCAGCCTGCAACCTTTCTATTATCAGACCACTGTAAGGTTAGTATTTAAACAGTCATATTATAAACAACATACAAAACCGCTCTAGAACAATCAACTATTACATGCAGATATCAAGATCCACATGCAAGCCATTTAAACAAGAGTCATTATTCATTCACATATATAGACATTCTTACCTTTCAAAGTGGGAAAATCATAGTTAGTTCATAGTTATTCAGAGTGGGTTTTATTTGTTTTAAAAAATGATATAAAATATTACTCTAACATTATATCACCTTTATAGTTTATATCAAAAAATTGTAATTGAGAGAATTCAAGACCTATTTTTGAGTAAAAGCAGTGTTTGTTTTTTTAGTTTTTCCCTAAAACTGTAGAAATGTGTTTCTTTACTAATGGTATAATAGTACAAAAAAGTTAAGTAACAAAATATCATGGCTAAAATAAGTGTAGCATTAAACGAAGACATTTCTGTATTCCAAGAACTTCAGGTAACAACTGAATTGAATGTGCTTTTTTAGCATCATTTTTGTTTTAAGAGTTGTGTATTAAGCCATACATTAACAAGCTTAAAATTGATTGCAGTAGTTTGACTTAAAATACAGCCAACCCAACAAACATATTAACCAACAAACAGAAACAAACCCATATTGCATCATATCATAAGAATGTGCTGAAATTAGATGCCATTATAAAAATGTAACATTCGTGATTTTACGTTCTCTGTGTGCAAATGTATTACAATTTATTTTCAGGAAAAAAGTTGATATGTGGTGACTTTATAATGTGACTTTAAAAGCTGTACAAACTGTAGTTATTGCAACATGAAAAGATGGCAAACTTGTCTTTAAATACAATAATTAAACATATAACGTATTTCTGCATGCACAATAATATCTCATTTTAATGCATGCACTACTTTAAACTCAAATACTGCATTCCTTACTAAATCCATCATCTTTTAAGTACAAATTAAGACCTTTCTATAAAAGGGTAATAGGAAATAGATTGACATGACAGCTAAATAACAGGCCATCAAAAACAAGCCATGATTATTAAGTCACCACCATTTATAATTGTGGTAATCGTGATTGGAGAGCTGCATCAACTGACCCTTTCACTAGACGCAAACTCTCCTTGACTAATCGGAGGAAAAGGTACAAGACTTAAGACATTCGTTTCAACAAGAGAATCATTAGGAGCAAAATAAAACTTGAGTGTTAACTTACTGGAGTTACAGTTTATCCTGATACAGTCTAGATGGGGGAAAATAAGTGACAGATGAAATTGCATCCTTCAAGGTTACAGCTGCAGACATCCAAAAACAATAATTCCACCCTTCCGGGGACGTCCACATGCAAAGAGGCGGCCATTTTTTATTATCATTAATGAAAGAATTATAATTTCATGAAAAGACAAAATCACTGGATTAGCGGAAATTGTCAGAGAATTAGAGATAATGTCTATGAATAAATTACTTTAATGATTATTTTGCTGCTAAATAGATTTTAAACATCAGAAAACAGATAATTGCCTTTTAAGCAATGTTTATTTTGTAAAATTATAAAATGGCCACTTGGAGCACACCAACCACAAAGACTATTCAACCCAGAGCTTTATTTTATTTTATTAAAATTATGCTTCTAATTCTCAGACCTATCTGAGGTCCTGCCCCATAGAAATTACACCAACTCATTAGCTAAATATGCTTTAATAGCTTAAATACATTTAGCAAGAAGTTGGTGTTAGGGCATTTTTCTTGAATATTGATCTGCAAAATAACGATTTCAAGCCTTCTCATTTTGATGGCATCATGCTCTGGGTTGGGCTCTGTGTGGCTGGATTTACCATGTGTCGTCAACCGCAACAGAAAAGTGGGAGCAAACAGCCTCGATCCAATAAGCACCAGCACCATGCAGTGGCCTCTGTACCTCCAGCTAGATCTTCCTGAGATCTGACCACTCAAATGAGTACTTAATATACTACAATCTCTAACATATTAATAATTGTGGTGGTCTTGGTTGTAAAAGTATAGTTGTAGAGTTCTGCATTGTACTAAAAGTAAAATAATCTTGTATTTTGGAAGCTAGGGCAGTCCTGAGCGTAAATCTAATGATATACATATGTATTTGGCTGTGTTCCATGGCTGGCAGGCTGTCAAATCATTCCAGATGAATTCTCGGTGTATGCAGTCATAAGACATTCTTGTCTCTTTCAGTATGTTTACAGTGTGTGGGCTATGTTTGTCTCTACTATGTTTGAGCTGTCACAGATAATCAGTCCTATTGTCAAACCTCAGGCTGTTTCCTGCAGTGAGGTGAGAGTTATGTCACTTCCTTTAATGATGACCCAGTGACTTATTGTCCAGTTAGGGTCTCTCATCTCTCATCTAATGGTGTCGGGTTGAGGATTGAGAGGTGCTACCAGCTGCAGGTGAAGCTGAGAGCTCTGTTCTCGGGCTGTTTGCCGACCGGGCCGCAGGCTAAGGGCCTTTGAAGGGGTGAATACCATCTTTTGACAAAGCATGGAGAATGTGTGTCAGAGAACGGGAGAGGGAGGGATAGGTGATGGTGGTTAAAAGGAAGTGATGTAACAGAAAGGAAATACCAACCAAAGCACAAATGTGGTACAGATGGAACCAACTGAGACAGAACATGAGGTTTGTCAGAAAAGAGTTACTGAAGACATTGTCAAGTAGAAAAGATGGCAGGAATTAGTGTAAAGTTGACGATCAGAAAGTCACAACACTTGGAAAGGTTTTACAATCATAAAAAAGAATTACCCATCATTTCAAAAGTTGACATTAAAAATAAAAAATGCTATGCTGTTATGCAGTGCTGTGACTGTCTCAAAGGAGTTTTTGTCTTCATTATGACAATGATCATGGTTAATATATTACAAAAAATGCACCAAACATTGTGTCCGTTAGGTTTGGGCAGTATGGTGGTACTATTTATGCGTCAAAAAACATTTAAATTTTGCAATAACTTTACACCACAATAGACACATCCGCAATGAAATAAATGGTTCAAGACTGCTGTATGTTATTTACAGTTGAGAGAAATTGAGAAATTTGCGAAGCGAAAATATAGAGCAGGACGTGTCCCAAAAAATACTAAATAACATAAAATTGTACAGATTAGTTGTTTATGGCTAAATCAATAAAAAATTCAAATGATGTGCGATTATAGTGCGACATGACCAGGTTGTTATGAATAAACTTTTGATTTGCATCCATAAAGTTCAGAATAAAATTTTCCTTATATATAACTATGTTGTATATATTATATTACTTGTACAGTGATACCACCCATCCCTAACACCAATTAGTAGCCAAAATTAGAATTTACTGTCAATTACTTTATTAAGAAAACAATCAATTCAAACTGAACTCAATCAAATGTCTGGTGAACCAAGCAAATAAAGAAAAACAACAAAACAACATCTTAATATATCTTATTAATGAATGTAATGATGATGGAGGCAGAGGAGGGTGGGGCTGGAATGATGGACAGATAGGAAGAGAGAGAAAAAGAAGAAGCACTGCATCCTGAAGGAGGGGGTTTTATACAATACCTAAGTTGACCGTGAGTTTGACGCGACTGCCATCCAGCTCTAGCCGAAGAGTATCGGCGGAGTCACGTGAGGTGGTGGCCATGAGCAGGCCGTATGCCCGCTGAGACATGAAGCGAAGGGACACGTCCTCCGCTTCAGTGTGCATCACGGTAGGCATCACCACTTTCATATACATGCTCCCGTCATAGCTCAAAATGGATGCCTCTGTGGACAAAAGAACACAAGATCTGTTTCAGACAAGTTAGAAGTAAACAAAAACATTGCTTCTGGGAGAAAAAAATGCTCTTAATGTCCTGAAGTTTGGGAGTTGACAATATATTACAATATTAAAATAATGCATGGTCAAGGTGATGGCCTCCAAATATTCAAGTCATCTTCCTGAGGAAATGCATGACTAAAACCAAGCACACTGAGTTAACACAATCTGCACAAGCCTCCTACAAGTTTCTATTAACTGACTCAACAGGTAAATGAACAGATCTCTCCTGCCATGGGAAATGTTGAAGACATCTGCACTTTTCAGCAAGCTGCCACACAGATGGCCAATCAGGCACACCGCTAGGATGGGACTGATGGATACCAGCAATGCCCTTTCTCCACATCCTCAGCCTCTGACTGTCATTCACGCTCCATGTGAAAGTATTAGAAAAGCCAGCCACGCATAAAATGTCTGCTTTGACTCCACAGCATGTAGACGTCCAGGTGAAAGAAAGGCAGGAATCACAGCATGTCTGGGCCAGGATTTAATAGAAGAAATTAAAGAGGCCACATAAAAGCTTACTTCAGGCCCTTCTGGATAAACATATGTGAAAAAACCTGTGCAGAACAAGATGATATTAAGCTTCAATTAAAATATTCTAGTTAAAGTATCATTTTAACAAAGATCAAAATAAACAAGTTGCTTCAGATAAAATAATGCATACTACCATTTAGATTTCTTTCTTTTTTTCCCCCAAATATAATTTAATGACTTTATTTAGCAAAGACACATTAAACTAAAAAAAGATAGTAAAAGGCTTGTATAATGTTACAATAGATTTATATATATATATGTGACCCTAGACCACAAAACTAGTCTTAAGTCGCTGAGGTATATTTTTAGCAATAGCCAAAAAAAACATTGTATGGGTCAAAATTATCGATTTTTCTTTTATGCCAAAAATCATTAGGATATAAAGTAAAGATCATGTTCCATGAATATATTTTGTACATGTCTTACCGTAAATATATCAAAACTTAATTTTTGATTAGTAATATGCATTGCTAAGAACTTCATTTGGACAACTTTAAAGGCGATTTTCTCAGTATTTAGATTTTTTTGCACCCTCAGATTTTGTTTCAATTTCTAATCATTAAGACATTCTGAACAAAAATATATAATGTTTCCACAGAAATATTAAGCAGAACATCTGCTTTCAACATTGAAGATAATAAATGGTTCTTGAGCACCAAATCAGCATATTAGAGTGATTTCTGAAGGATCGTGTGACTAAACACTGGAGAGTAAATTCTGTCTGCTGAAAATTCTACTTTGCCATCACAGGAATCAATTACATTTTAAAATATATTCAAAAAGAAAACAGTTATTTCAAATTGTATACTATTTCATGATATAACTGTTTTTACTGTATTTTTTGATAAGGTAAATGCTTCCTTGGTGAGTATAAGAGGCAACTTTAAAAAAAAAACATTTTAAATGATAAATGTAACACAAATATAATGAATAATAATAACAAATATGAAATTGCAGACATTCATATACAGACAGGACTTGAAAGGGGTCTGAATTAAAAACTCCATCCTGAACATATGTATCCTAAATATCGATGCATAGAAACAGCTGACAAACTCTACAATTACACAGCGATCAATATGTTATTATGTGCGATTAGCTGCTTTTCAATCCTCCCTGGGGCCCCCGCCAATTTAAATTTTACACCCAGCATACTAAGTAGAGAGTGGAAAAAAGAAATCGAGGTCGTGCTGCCATCAGTGAAGACAGCGAGAAGAGAAACAGATAAGTGGGACTAACCTCTGACGATTAACTCGGAGTGAAAGCAAATCAAAATGATTTTGTATCAATGTTATTGAGCAGCGAGCTGATGTGGGTAGACAGAAACATGCCGTGGAGGATGTGACGAGAGTGACGGGGGAATGAGGCATCAGAGATCTTCACAGGGTGGCAGTGTTTCTCAATAAGGGGCCGGTGTTACACAACAGCATCCGGCAGCCATCTTGAGAGACTCACTTATGAAATTTGATACACTGCTGTTTCCTCTCAAAGTATCTCATAAATCCATCTCAGGACACGTGAGGGCACTCATTCACTGTATTTTGCCTGTAAAACGTGGCCGTCTTTCTCTGTTTTAGATTTGTAAGCTGGGATAATTAATGCAGATCATGTGGCTGTATAAAAATGCAGTGCACATCTGACATTTCGGTATAGTAATTAAGCCCCGCTTTTGTTTTCCTATGTAAATAATGAACACAGAACTTATTCAATCACATGCCCGAATGAAACACGGTTCATGAAAGTCAAATGAGCTACAAAAAGCATTACTCATGGGAGAGGCTAATTCAATAAATAAAGGGCTGTAACTGACATTCCATTTGACTAATTGATGACTGAATAGATGGAATGTTTAATCATAATTGTTTTTGTTAGTTTTTTTCTCCATGCTGCATCTGAACATTTGGATATGTATTATCTTTCACAAACAGATTTTTCATGCTTTTATGCATTTGAGCACTCATGCACATTCAAGGGTATATGCAAGTCAGATTTCAAGCAGTGTCCTGCAGTGTGACATGCTATACTCCAGCAGAAAACATTTTTGTAATTATTTTATGTTTATTATGGATGATGTTTTTACTTCATATTTTTTGAGAGGCAAAAATCACTTGTCACATTGCAGGACTATTTACTGTAAGTGTAACTGGAGGGTGGAAAATGTAAAATATACAGTATAGGTTATATATA